ATGCCTCTTACCTTTCGCAGATATAGCAACTAAACAATTTTACACTGAATTTGTTTTACAATAGCAGAAAGTACAACCAGGATTCTTTTTAATTTGCATCAACGTTACGTAATGTGTGGTTGCTATGAAGGATTAAATGAGTGTTTCTCATCCAGCCCAACCTTTTGGGGCCATTCTATGGTGCTCTATTTGCATACCTGATGCAGCCCACACCTTGAATTGGTTACATAGCATTTTTTTTTATTACACCTGCCACCAAATGCTCCTTGTGTTTGAATCGCACCTTATCTAAGTAGCCATGCAGTTTTCTGATGAAAGCAAGTATGCAGTGGCGAAAAGAATGAAGGAATAGGTTATCTTTAGAAAAGTAAGGCAGAAGGATGCTTCTCTTTCTCGGAGCAGGTTCAAGGACGAGAACCACCGAAGGACTTATAATCTATAGCGGTAATGCGAAGAGAACCCAGGCGCTAGTGGTTGGGCACTTTCAACACTGTGCCTTTCCTGCTCCTTAGGGCTGAATAAAATCATTTTTCGACAACATCGTCTTAACCCTTTTGGCTCTTGCAGCAGTGGATCACTGTGACCCAAATCCTTGCCTGCATGAAGCAGCTTGTAAAAGATTACCTGAAGGGTACGAATGTTCCTGCCCGTCTCGTTACACAGGAAAAAACTACAAAAATAGTAAGCTCTGACTAAGATCGAGCCTCAATTTCTTTTTTTAAATTAAATTATCGATATTCCTCCGACGTCCTAGCTTTAATTTCCCTGGGAGTTACCAGTGGGACTGTGATCCTGAATATACCGGAAGAAACTATGAAACAGCTTCAACCGCTTACAATAAATTATTTCAACATTAATTATACTTTAAAATGTGTGTTTGTATTTTACTCTCCAGATATTAATAAGTATGCTGAATGTCCTTGTAAGAACGGTGGTACTTGTCAAAATACTTGTGGTAGTTACCAGTGTACGTGCAAACTTGGTTATACAGGCAAGAATTGTGAGACAGGAAAGCTGGTCTGAAGTGTAGCTCAAAGGATAGAACGCTGGACTGTTGTGCGGAAGGTCGAGGATTCGAGCCCCGGCCGGACCAACACTCAGGATCTTAAAATGATTGAGAAGAATTTGCTGCCTTTCTATAATATCAAGAAATGGTTAAATATTCTAGTCTTCTCGGATTAGGACGAATAAATGGAGGTCCCGTCTCCTGCAAGGTTGGGGTAGGAGACGTTAATTTTCCCACACACGAAATTACTGTGTGATTGATGTCCTCCCCTGGGGTGGGATGGTGGGATGTACAGGCCTCCATTTAAAACAACTTCAAGCTGCTGGCCTGTCTAAATATCGTAAATACATATACCATTATCATCGAAATCCTTGCTTTACCCGAATGTTACACAGCTTCGTTTAGTGGGAGAAACGAGACATACAGTATTCCTATCCCATTGCCATACAAATTGAAGGTTTTGGGGTAACTGATTTGACGGTGATGTCCATGTCGTAAAAACCAAGAGAGAAATGGGCGTCTAGCACAGTGAAGAATATTGATTGATTAAGAATACGTTTATCCAAGGTAAAGGTTTATATTTTGTGGACGTTAACAATTGCCAAATGCAATACAAATATTTCCTGGAGGTAGCCACGTTCTGGCTTTTTATGTAAGAAACACCTCCATTAAGCGACCTGTTTCCGTTTACATATTAGGAAACTGGTTTCTTTTTCTTTTCTTTAAAAATCGAGTTCTCGATAGCAAAAGTGAATCTAGAAGAAGCAATGATACTTCGCATTACATAAGAATGCGCTAAGAGTCAGGACCGGGTTGTTCAAAGGTGGGTTAAGATAACCCAGGATTAGTGTAAAATTTAATTTTAGATCTGAAAGCTTTAAAAGAAAATTTAGTTTAATTCCACTTGTCTACAATTTGATGATTGAATACTCTGAAAAGTATTGGAAATTTTTTCCCAAAACGGCTCTTGAACAGAGAAATATAGAAACCTGGATTAAAATTTAACCCTGGGTTAGCGCTAATCGGCCTTCGAACAACTGGAACCAGAT